TGCATAGATAGATAGATAGATAGATAGATAGATAGATAGATAGATAGATAGATGGAGTTGATGTGGAATCAACGCGGCATGTTGTTTTGTCAGTTTTAGGTTTCAAGGGTGAAAATGACAGTCACCATGCAATGTTGATTCCTCCATCCCTCCATCCCATCTACAAATGTTGATTCCTCCATCCCATCTAGAAACGTTGATTCCTCCATCCCATTTACAAACGTTGATTCCTCCATCCCATTTACAAACGTTGATTTTCCATTTAAAAGTTTTTTATTGTCTAAAATATTAAAAGAAAACAATTTGTTTTGCAAAACAATTTTTCAGACTTTAGAATTTCATATATCCGGTCCATCTAGCATTTTATCGGCCTTCAAATAAGAAATTCTAGCAGTAATATACCATACCTATATATATATATATATATATATATATATATATATATATATGTAATATCGTACATTGAGTGCAGACGTTAATGCAATAGTTCTCGATGGAATATAACAGAGTCTGAACTATATATTACTAAATATACAGATTTTCCTCGCCGGTAGCACGATTTGGACTTTCATACACAACGATATCTTCAGGTGCTGCATTAAGTCTGACCGTTACATAATTTAAATTTTGTTAAATATTTATGTTTATCGCAATGACGAAGCAGTCAGATTAAGTTATCACTGCGATAAACAGGTATACACACACACACACACACACACACATACATATATATATATATATATATATATATATATATATATATATATATATATATATATATATAACCAACTGGATGAATATAAGTAAATGTATGAGTGAGCGTTCGTGTACAAATACTTATATATATGTATATATGCTCTATAGTGTAAGAAAAAACAATGATCATTGTTAAATAATAGAGACAATCAATATATTATATTAAGAAATATACATAATAATATTGATTCGAAGTGTAAAGAACGTATAAACTCCGATTTGTACAAGATATGTATATATATATATATATATATATATATATATATATATATATATATATGGTAAAGGAGAAGTGGACAGAAGGATGAAGACACAGAGAGAAAAAGAGATAAGAGAAGAGAAAAAGAGACAGAAAGAAATAGAGAAGGAAAGGAAGAGGGAATTAAAAGAAAAGCCAGAAAAGAAGGAAGAGAGTGAGTAAAATGGATAGAAAGATTGTTGGGGAGAGAGTGAGGTTGAAATTCAGAACAGATAGAGGCAGAGTAAAAAAAGAGTAAGCATTATATAGGGAGTGAAAATGCGTACAAAAGAGATAGATAGATAGATAGATAGATAGATAGATAGATAGATAGATAGATAGATACAAAAAGACTGAGATAGATATATAAAAAGAGACTGAAATAGATAAATGAATACAAAAAGATTTAGATAGATATAAAAAGATTGAGACAGATTGTGAATGAGAGATAGATAAAAACACAGATAGATAGATAGATAGATAGATAGATAGATAGATAGATATGAACATATTGAGATAGATAGATAAATATGGACAAGCCTACAAAGACAGATAACCACATGTGAGACATATATATATATAGGAAGAGTAAGAGAGATTCAACATTGTCTCTTTCTTTGTAAATGTACTTCAGCTATGAAGATTTATACGATAATTTCATATCAAAATTCAGTGAATGTCTCAGGTTACACATTTACTGAGACACTCATATATATATATATATATATGAATAAATATATTGTACAATGCTAAGTACTGTGAAACATTGAAACTCGAGTTACAAGTGATACGGTCATAGATATAAATTCTAAGTTCGATTAGAAACAAATAATAAGAGATTTGATGAAAAGTGAGTTGTCGGTTCCGAATGTTGAAATATAGGAAATCGTGCTTCATGCGCTGCGATTTTTGCTTCTGCGTACGGGCGTGTCCGCCATTGGAGTCAAACAGGTCAACGTGCCCTCCCACTAGATCAACAGGCCATTTGCACTGAGAAGGCAGTAGAAAGTTCTTTCCTTTCGAAAAAAAAGGGGTTTGGTTGACTGCCACTGGCTATGCGGGAATCAATTTATTTCTTTTTCTTATTGTATTTACCAGTCGAAATCAACAGACTTGTTATTTCAAAAGATTTCTCGCTTAGCCTTGTTCTAGTAGAGTTTTACGAACTACAGTAGATTATCTATCTATCTATCTATCTATCTATCTATCTATCTATCTAAATATGTTCATATCTATCTATCTATCTATCTATCTATCTATCTATCTATCTATCTATCTAAATCTGTTCACATCTATCTATCTATCTATCTATCTATCTATCTAAATCCGTTCATATCTATCTATCTATCTATCTATCTATCTATCTATCTATATATCTATCTATCTATCTAATCTTTTAGCCTGTTCAAATCTATCTATCTATCTATCCTCTCTCTCTCTCTCACACACACACACACATATATATAATATATATGTATCGTATTTCGTCAACTGGCATGTATAATCGATAAAACTTTGAAATAATAAAACATGGCCGATTGAAAAAGTAAATCTATTAAATCATTAGAAATATATTGGTGTGTTTATGAAAATATAAATACTCAGAAATTCATCTTTCTCCTTCAATGGCCTAGGGCTTAATATCTCCGACTGATACCAAATTGGTCGTGTTTCGGCCCCGGCCTGAAGCGATCGGATGTCAAGTCACACTGATGAGTCTTTGGATGACTCTCTCTCTCACCACATATATATATATATATATATATATATATATATATATATATATATATATATATACATATGGGCCGGTTAATGAAATTCGAGGAATAAAATGAAAAAAAAAAAAAATGACAAAGTTCCCCACATGTGTCCCTCTTCTTTGTTTATTTCTCATCTCGTTGATAAAGGACACAGGCGTGTCCAAAAATACCGACTTAAAATCTTTCTCTTCGTGTTTCGCTTCAGTCAAAAGGCCTACTAGCATATAATAAATATCATCAGTCTTATTGACAATATTTTTTTTATCATTTTCTTGTCTTTTTATTCCTCAAATTTCATTAACCGATCGATTAAATCCGCATATTATAAACACGTAAACCATCCTTCGTGTATATCATATATGCATATGTGTGTGTGTGTGTGTGTTCTAAAAATTAATGATTTTTACTTATTAATCTAAGAAATCATATTTTATATATATATATATATATATATATATATATATATATATATATATATATATATATATATAATGTGTGCGTGCGCGCGTTTGTCTATGCATGCATATGGGTGTGCTTATATGTGTGCATGTACATTTTTTTTTTAAATTAAATCCTGATTTTCTCGGAAAATTTGGTTGTTACCCTACCAGCATTTCTAGATTTCTTCAAATGTCTGCCGCAATTGGTAACATTCCGGGAATTTTGAACTGAACCCTTTATTGTTCTCATTCCACTGTCTATTCCATCCTCCGCATTTTTGATCGGTTGACTGGGGGTCTTCAGTCCCCTCCACCCATGTTATTTTTGTTTTCTAACTGTTAGCCAGAGAATAAAAGTTATTCTCCTCTTCAATCAATGACCAAAGCTTATGAGCTGAGATCTACAATATTCTAAAAGCATTAAATTTTTAAAGAAACCATAAAACATTTTTTCTGAAACACTAAGTTTCAAAACTTTAATATAAATCTTATATGTAGAAAAAAATCTATGCAACTCGTTCCAGAACTTAAGTACAAGCGAAAAGAAAAATAATGTGTATTTGAAATCAAAACAAAAATACTAACAATAAGGTAAAATCCCCACCCCCCAAAATTGTTTATTTTATAGAATAGACAAATAACCAAAAAACAGAACCAGGAATGTATCTGTCTATATTTCTGAGATGAGGTATTATGTACACTATTTACATTATTCGGACTATTGTCCTCATCAATGTCGCCATATTTATTACAACGTTTCGGCTGTTGAACGCTCCGGTCTCAAGGACACATGACACAGTGGTTAAAGGCGTTGGTTAGATCCAGTGACAGGACCCAAAGAGTGTGAGTTCAATAACCGGTTAAGGCAGTGGAGAACTTTCAGAGGGAAATTAACAGGAGATAATTGATAACTGATATCCATTAAACATGGCACGTAGAACTAGAACAGTCTACCACAGTGAGCGAAACGTTGTCATAAATATGGCGACAAAGATGAGGACAATAGTCCGAATAATGTAAATAAGAACCTGGAATCTGTAAAATTTAGCCACCACTTTTAATTTCTGATTTACTCCCCAATCCAACACTTCTGCTTGTTTGAAAATGCCCCTATCGCCTGGTTCACACGCCTTTCTCCGTCTTTTGAGCTGGAATAGAGGTTTATCACTTGCGTCCTGTTTAGGATTGGGTTTCCATTTTCTCATTTTCTTTCTTCCCTTGCCCAGTAGTCCCCTGCATCTTAGTGGCATTATCGCCTTGCTTGGGATGAAATGATAAAAAAATGGTAAAAGTTGAAGAGAGAGACAAGGAGCATTTTTGAAGTTTGATCGTCCACCACCAATCTGTCCAACAGGACGCAGAGTGGAAAGCATAAATTAGGCTAATCAAGTCACTTGGCAGTCATAAGTCCAGTCCCTGATTTAGGTAAGAAAAATCGTATATTCTAGTTCAATTGGAACGATAAAAAAGAATTGAATAGGACGAGTTATTTCCCATTATCTTTGACAACGGAATGAAAACAACCTACTCCAGTGGACTGAATAAAGAGTCCGTTTCTAAATTACTGGAAATGTTTTTGATTTGGCATTATTTATCAACATTCAAAAAGATAAACTTTTCGAATGATAAAACTCATTTTTCAGTAACAGGAAGTCTGTCTTCATCATTTAGCAAGAGAAAGCATTATAAAAGATATACCTACAATAGTAACAAGATAAAATTAACATTTTAGCCAAAGAGATTATTATAGGCTGTTTACTATAGGAATTAAACGTGGAACTATAGTGTCTGGTGAACGTAAAGTTAATGCCTGTACTTCTTAAAAGTAGTCAAGAGGCTTTCAGTTGGAAGATGTATATCTCGTACAGGACGATCGGTAGGCATTGTCTTGGGTTGAATTGGTTTCTCTTCAAAAAAGGTTACATTTGCATTAAACTGTGTCTGTGCCTGAGAAAAAAAAAAGATAGCGGTATCCTATGAACACAATGAATAAAAACAAAATAAACTTGAAACCAAAAAGAACAAAGAATTAAAAAAAAAAACATTGAAAAAAAAAGAGAAAGAAATACTAAAGCCAAAAAAAAACAAAAACAAAAAACAAACCAAAGTCAAGAAAGGGAGAGGGAAACTGATTAAACTTGCAAAGGAAGACAATGTCGAAAGAAAAGAAAAGAAAAGAAAAGAAAAGAAAAGAAAAGAAAAGAAAAAATAAAGTGTTGTGTAGAAAGATGACCGACCTAATTGTTGAACATGGAATCGTCCATCCACTACAGTCAACCCATAGGAGCGGTTGTCGCAAAGGTGTAGCGTTTGAGTCGTACGCATTGCCGCACTGAAATACGTTATTCTCTGTTGTTGTATTATTAATCCAAGTCTCTCATGAGATTAAACCTGTTCTTCACTCAACCCTTTGCTCCCAATGCTTTACTTACAGTCTTACTAAACAGCAATTGCGAGCATTATACAAACTTTGTAACAGAAAGAAAGAAAGTAAGAAAAATAAAAAGTGATAAATAAAAGAAAAGTGAAGAGGAAGAAAGAAAGAAAGAAAATATTAAGAACAATTCTAAAAAGAAAAGTAAGAAAAAAAAACGCAATAAAAAAAAAAAAACGGAAAAATAGAAGAGAATGAAAGAAAGAACGTTTGCCAGAAAAGAAAAATATTAATTCGTTAAAAATAAGACAGTGTACTCTGCGGGAATCGAACTTACGACCTGAGCAATGATCCACAACCACTTCTTGAGCTATAGCTTCTTTTTTATGCGCCGAGTCCCCTCAGGACATAGGGGATCATGGCTCGCCACTATTTCCTGTCATCTAGAAACCCTAAAGGCTTTTGTAAATTTGTGTGTGTGTGTGTGTGTGTGTGTGTGTGTGTGTGTGTGTGTGTGTGTGTGTGTGTGTGTGTGTGTGTGTGTTTTCCTAAATGTGTCTTCTAATGTCTTGCTTGGTTTTCTTCACTGGCGTCAGGGTTCGATCTTCGAACCAATATCAAGGATTTTCAATGTTGATTTTGAAGGCATTCTGGCAATATGGTGCAACACAATCTTACTTTCCCAATTCATTATATGAATGCATCCTTATGTGCGTGTGCGTGTACGTGTGTGTGTGTGTGTGTAAAGACAGAGAGAGAGAAAGTGACATAGCGGGGGGGGTGGAGAGATACGCCCCCATCCGCTTGCCTACATGTTCACATGAATAAACAAATTGAAGTTCCCAATATGTACAAAGAAAAGGAATGTGCCGAACTTTTCCGTCGTGTGTGTCGAACGCGTGTCTCTTAACTACCGCCATTGATTATCGGCCGTGTTAGGGTTTGACGTAGTCAATAAGCGAATGAGAAGCTTTTATGGCAATCTTCTTAGAGAGTCTATTTATTTATATCTTTTGTTTGCTAATGTTTGCATTTATATGATAGTTCTTTGTTTATTACGCTTTTCTCCTTTTAGAATTTATTCTCTCAATTCAATTCATTTTTCTTTATGCCTCTTCAATTATTATTTTATCTTGCATTTTTATCTTTTCTATTCTTTGTCTTTTAATAACAGTTTATCCAGACGATCAAGAAATGGCGGCAATATTTAAATTTTGTCATTACTTCGGTTCTATCTTCTGCATGACAAACGTTTGACTTTTATTTCTACAATCAGCTCTATTATCTAATTTAAGAAAGAAATCTGTTTTTTAAATCATTAAAAGCAAACAAATATCCAACGGAAGCTAACACGAAACAAAACCAATTTTTTAAAAATTAGTAGTAAACTATTTTCATTACTTATGAATAAGATGTTTTGTTGATATAATAACATGGAGCATGTGAGCTCACTGGCGTTGAGTAATAACTATTACCATAGAACGAAATAATCATTACTAAAACGAGGAGATCAAGCTGCGTAACCGATAACTATATAAAAGTTTCCGGCCTGATTCACTTCATAAAATGTGGCCAAGTGACCAAATAGCAAACATTATTAAGTCCTTCATGGCAAGGCTGAGAATCTTACAGCACCCCCCTCCTCTTAAAGTCACGTTGTGTTTTATAAAACGGATTCTGTCCAGGTTTATATTTTTATCTTTTTTTCAATTTTGTTTTTGGTTTACACTTCTTCTTCTTCTTCTTCTTCTTCTTCTTCTTCTTCTTCTTCTTCTTCTTCTTCCCCTCCTCCTCCTCCCCTTTCTTCTTCTTCTTCTTCTTAATATTATTATTATTATTGTTATTATTATTATCTTATTTTCAAATTTGTTTCAGGTTTACACTTCTTCTCCTCCTCCTCCTCCTCCTCCTCTTCTTCTTCTTCTTCTTCTTCTTCTTCTTCTTCTTCTTCTTCTTCTTCTTCTTGTCATATCCCTTCTGGACGTGGGCGATTACAACTGTTCAAAACTTCCCACCCATTCAAGCTTTATTTGTCTCCTTATTATCTCTCCAAGTCCCTGTTCTGCCTGCCATCTTTTTATACAAAATCTTTAGATATTCTATTCATTGTATTCCTTTGTCATTCTTGCCTAAGATGTCCTCTGAATGCTAAAATTTTCCAAACCTTATTTATTCCTTATTTGTCTCAGAAATTGCAACCGTCTCTTTCTAATGCTAAGTATTCAGTGTCCTTTGAGTTCCTAGTTTTCTTAAAACTTGGAATTCTCAGCATCCTTATCTAGAACCACATCTCTATTTCTTCAAGAATCTTCTTCATCTGCGAGGAAATTGTAAAGATATTATGTAAGAGTTGGACACTCTTAACTAATGCAACTGTCCCATAATTTGCAATTCACTTTTCACGTAATAAATATAAGAACAACAATACCTGATAGCATCCCAAAGGGTCTCCGAGTCTTTGTCGGGGAAGAATTATTTTCCACCCTCCGACCCCCCCCCCTCTCTGACAGGTGGGATGTGGTGAGTCTCTCACTGCTCTATTGATACTTCCATGGAAAGTGCTCGGACAAACTACATTCCTTGCTTCCAGCAGGTTTAATCTTCTCGGCTAGGACCCGCCAGGACACTTATATAGTACCAAACCGCCTCCGTATTCCATCGACGGGAAGTTCCATTCAATCGGTTTCTTCCTATGAACACTGCTCTGTGGAACAAACTCCGAAGTGGATGTTTTCCCGATCACTGCAATCTTAACCTGTTCAAGTCTAGAATTATCTATTATCTTCCCCTCCTATCCATAAAACCTACCCCTTATCGTAACCCTCTACCTCGAGTGGCTCCCGAGCCTTGTATAGGGTTACCATTACTGTAAAAATGAAAGCAATCGGACAACTGTAGTATTTTCTAACATTTATTTAAAACTCGTTTACCCTTATTGTAAAAATTAATACATTTTGTTAATCTTAATTGTTATAAGAATGTTTTTCACATGTGAGGCTTTAAATATGTTATGATATTAATATTTAGTAATTATGTAGGGAATTAGTATATTACTAAAAAACTATAGAAAATTTTGTGTTCAATAGAATATAATATATATATAACCTCTTTTTCGAACGTAACTCAAAATTGATACAATAATAGTTAATAAAAATGAACACGCTACTGCCCCAGTCTAATTGATTGGATTTCTCTGTAACCTTGGAAAGAAGAAATTATGAATTGTATGTGCGTTTAAAACTCAGTATATTTAAAAATAAGTTATTCCAAAATTCGCTTGAAGATGAAACAGAACTAATGCTTTTAATTTAATTATATAATTAAATTTGAAGATTTTAGCTTCGGTTTTTGAAACGTGGTAATTCCTGTGTAGCGAAGAAATTATATTTTAAATCTATTAATTTATAATATTTATGCTCTGTAAATTTACATTGAGCACGGTTTTGTAAAAATAAAAATATCAATCAGAACACCGGATTATATATCTTACTGTTCTTTCTTTCTTTTTTTATAAAAGCCTTCCCTGACGATCCGCTTCGGTGAAACCTTGGTAGGTTTGTCTGGCTTTCTAGGTTTAACTAGATCTGCTCTACTCATTGTATTGAGCACTTTATTTAGTTATTTTGGGTACTCGCATCGGGTTTTTTTCTTTGAGCTTTGGACTTGCATGCTGGGCGATTATTTTCGGCTAACGTACATGTTCTTTGCCCTTTTTTTTTTTTATACCTTTTTTTTCCCCTTTGGTATTGGCTTGTTTATTTGCAAATCAAAACACCAAAGGTTTTCCGAACAGTATAGTTTCTATTAATATATATATATATATATATATATATATATATATATATATATATATATAGATATAGATATAGATATACGAGTTTACTACATGACGAAACAAAGTTTTTATTTGAACAAAGTATCTATAAATTAAGACAAATTGTTTTTATTTTTTTTATCCTCTGCCAGCCGCCATGATGGAGAAATCGCCAATGAGACACGCTGCAAGAGTCACTCCTTTTCGCGAGGCCTGTCCCTTAATCGAGATGCAATTATATTAATATTAGTTCATCCACGCTGTCAAAAAGGACATCAGATTTCCTTATCATTACTAGAAGACGTTGAAATTTGAATCGCTATGCATTTATCGATTCATATAGTTTACCCACTTTTTAGCAAGTTTTGACATTTATATCTTTCTACCATTTTTTTTTTGTTTTTGCTAAAATTATATTGTCGCCATTAAAAAGTTTGGATGTGAATTTAGTAAATACTAAACACTTCAGATACTTCGGTGTAAAGATTAGTTATAACGAATTTCGAGACAAAGAAATTGAATATAGACTAGGCTGTGCTAGAGATAGTTTCGCCCAACACCGCCAATTGATACAAAACGAAAAATATTAAGTTGAAAACTCGAGTCGTGTCTTCAAACAGCCTACATTACATAGTTCAACACTACTTCAAACCAAAGGTTAGGAAGGAAAACCCCATCAAAACTGGAAAGAGTTATAACAGCTACTGGACTTGGAAACCTATTCTCCTGAAAATATGTTTTAAGAGAAAGATTTTATAAATTTCAACCGCTAGTTGTACAAGCTGCTTGCTCAATGAATTCCAAATGTTTACTTATAAGGAAACGGATAATATTATCATTGACATTGCTATAATTATTTTATATATGTTACCCCCCTGTTCCACAACCGCTGTTTGATTTAAAGGACAAAGGTCATATTTATTTTTTAAACTTTAATTTTTATATGTATTTTTATTATTTAAAAATTTTTTGACTTCAATTTTATTTTCATGACGTTTATTTGCTATTTTTTTTATATTGTTTTTTATAGTTATTTAAATTTTGAAATTACTTGTAATAAAAGCAAGTTACTTTAAAATAGAATCTTAAATTACTTTTAAATCTTTATGTTTACAGTTAATTTGCATTCATTTTATTTTACATTTATTTTTAATTTTCTTTTTATTTATTTCATATTTTATTTTATATATGTAAAGGATTTTTTATAACGTTTTTTTAATTTATTTTAACCTGTTTATTTATTTTAACCTGTTTATTTGCCGTTTGTAGTTCACTTTGCTTCTGTCCTTGTCTTTTCGAATGAACGTTCGAGTATGCGGATGGCTTTTTGATCATGTGCGATAGCTCAGTGGTTAGAACAATGGTGGGAAAAATGACAAAACTGAAAGGTTTTGTTTACATTCAACTACATTTTTACAGAAAAGAATAAAAAAAAAAAACTTTCTTTATACTTATCTTTTATCTTTGCCCTTTTTTTTTATCTTTTAAATGTTTCTTTTTTGTTTTTATTTGTTTTCTTTTGTGAAACTGTTTTTGTTTGTTTCATTCTTTCTTCTTCACTTTTTTCTACTTGCTCCTTCTTCATTTCTTTCCCGCGTTTTTCTTCTAAATCTTCACCTCTTCTTTTTTTTCTTTCTCAAACTCTGATTCCACTTCTTTCTTTCTTACTTTCTTTCTTTCTACTTGTTTTTTTTTTGTCTTTCTCCTTTCTTTCTTCCTTATTTTTTCATCTTTTAAATGTTCCTTTTTTGTCTTTATTTATTTGAGAAACGGTTTTTGTTTCTTTGTTTGCTTCTTCACTTTCCTTGTTGTTGTTGTTGTTGTTTTTGTTGTTGTTGTTCTTCTTCTTCTTTTTCTTCTTTTCCAGATTGTTTTCGCTGTATATCCACCTCTTCTTTCTTTCTTTCTTTCTTTCTTTTATACTTGTTTTTTTATCCTTTCTTTCCTTCCTTGTTTTTTCACCTTTTAAATATTTCCTTTCTTTTCTTTGGTGAAATCGTGTTGTGTTAGCGCAAAGTCACAAGACATCGTGACCGATGGTTTTGAACCTTCCGGCTTTGTTCAAGGACTGTTGATCACGCCAAATTATGCATTCCCAACCCGAAACTATAACTAAGGCCCACTCAGTTTATATTTGCATCATAAAACAAAGGTTGGTTCCAAGATGGTTGAATAGTTACAAATGGAACTGAGGAGACATCATGCAACAGACATTAGCTATTCTCACTAACAGACATACTCAGATACGGACCGTCAACAAAACTAGATACATCTTTGATATGATCAATACAGGATACGATGGATAAATTGTTGTCTAAATGACGCGAATGTGAAAATAATACTGACATCTCATTTTAAGAGATATATTTACCAAAATGACACAAAAATAACTTGAAATAGTAAAGAGTGAATTTATTCAATAAAACCGCCATTGGCTTCAACCACGGCCTCCAGCCGACTTCGGAATCTCTTGCGACTCTTCTTGTTGGTCTCCTTGTTTAAGTTGGTGGATGCTGAATGCTTTGGTTTTTCGCTCAACGGCGCCTCATACATAATAATCAAGATGGTTGCAGTCTAGGGAGTTAAGTGGTCAGATGTAAGAGGTAATGTGGTCGCAGAAATTATCTGACAGCCATGACTGGGTCGCTTGTGTGGCATGGTGCCGAGTCCTGTTGCCAGACATAGGTTCTTCCAGTAGCCAACCTCTAGATCCAGGACAGCGTTACCCCCCTTCCCAAATCACTTAATGTAGGTCTCCGTGTTGAGTCTGAGGCTCTGTGGGAAGATGAATAGAGGTATAACGTCGCCATCATTAGTGATCATTCCAATCACCATTAGACTCATCCAACTCTTTCTGAATCCTCTTCACTGTCCGCAGATTGACATCCAAACACATTGTAATGTTCGTATTAGAGTTTCCGGCGCGAATGCCAAGAAGTACAGCGTGCTGTTTCCAAATTTCTGGCGAAGTGAATTGCATCATTTTTATCTCACAGATGGTGCCCAACTGACCCTACTATACTGTGCAGTCGACAAAATCAAAAAGAAGCAATGCGTGAAATTAAAAATATAAAATAATGACAGCTTACTCTTCGACCCCTGTATATAGTGTGTGTTTCAGTTTATCTAAACTTTCTTAGAAATATTGATAATATTAAATATTGATAATAACTTGTTTTTGTGGGCGTCAGGTTTTATTACGCAACAAAACGCAACGTATTTGTTATTTATTAATAAATCCAAAGATATTGATCAGATAAGCGTATATTTCATATAATTTTTTTTATATATCTGAATATTGAAACATTTTATTGTCATGCATGTTTAGATGCTTTAGTTGAATGATGTTGGTTATTTGTGCCGATTAAAACATCTTGTCGATGATCTAACCACACTTATCCGTATTTATCTTGAAATTCTCGTCAGATTTGAGGCGCTTATAATTCTACTGATTACACGACCACGTAAAACATAAATCTACCACGATGTTATCTTGGTTGACTATTTCCATGAAGTCTAGTCATCTGGTTCAGTCAATGTAGCTCAATATTCATCTAAAAAGATTCAGTCAGTTATGTGCCATGATACATGGTTAGGCGATCATGTATCTTTCGATACATGGCTGATGAGGGAGTTTTTTTTTTTCTCGCAGTAGGTTGCCATATCTTTTTACGGTAGACCAGTTACCACCAAAGGTTATAGAAACCGGTCTGTACTGCTATTTACGGACAATAAGAGAATTCATACCTTTCCCAAGGATATTAGCACGTAATGGTTTCGACTGCAATTCGAACTCGTCTCTCCGATTCCTCTATCCGAGCCGCTATCAATTACTCTACCGTTCCGCCTAAAGAAATCACTATTTTGAAAACATTTTTTCATGTACTCTTTTGCTCAACTTACACTTTTTTCCATTCTGATGTTCGCTTAAAAGTGGTATTTTCTTTGCCCTCATGTCTTTAGCCAATGTTCTTAATATTCTGCAGATTTTGTCTTTTGTTCATATTCGCTAAACACGATTCTTCAATTATTTCCTTCTTGGCCAAAACATTTTCCTTGCTTGTTACTCTTTCATCAAATCATCATTTATAATATCCTCATAGCTATTTATTCTATTTTCTCTTTTAATGTTTTCGATTTCTGTTTTGATTGTTCTCTGATCCCCGTTTAATTCTTTCATTACTTCCTTGAATAACTTATAAATATCAGTAACTATATATATATATATATATATATATATATATATATATATATATATATATATATATTTATATACAGTTGTATGGATATGAGTTTGTAACCCTGGCTTTCTGTTGTAGCATACCAACGGGCGATAATGGGTATATCCCCATTTGCATAAATACAGTAGTAAATACTGTATGTTGGTCTGCAGTTGAAGATACATTATGGAATTCACTTGACTCACTTCTAGCAGTTGATTACTACTTCTACGCGCCGCTGGCGAATCTTATATGTGTTGTTCTTGTACGAAGTATTATCGTTGATTATCAACACTCGTCTGACTATTCTATTCAGTAACCTTCCCTAGGTTACAACAGTTTCACGCTTTTGCAATCATCAGACAAAGCAGATTGTCTGATGATCGCAAAAGCCAGGGTCACAAACCCAGGCTCACAAACTCATATCCATACAAATGAATATGTTAGAACTATCACTGATATTGAGTAAGTACTGCGCATACATACATACATACATACATACATACATACATACATATATATATATATATATATATATATATATATATATATATATATATATATAAAGGAGGTATGGATTGAGGAATGTGTGAGCCTAGTTCGAATTCAGATGAATCCATTACATTTACTTAATAAATTAGGAAAGGTGTTAATCCTTATCTTCTCCTCCAGCTATGGGTAATTAGCAGGACAGACTGCATTCTATAGACTTGGATGGCACATGGCCTAGGAGAAAGACAACTCTGAATTCAAAACCTGCGGAGGGTCGTTTGGGAACCTTGTGGCACGTAGTGCACCAGGTCTCTGTATTCGGCCCTTCAGAAAGTGTGGTTGCTTCTGCACAAAGCCTTCACCATAATCAAATCCTATGTGCTGGTATTTGACTGTCTGTTCCTAGGAAGTGAGCTACTTGACCCTCAAACATTGAATTCTATAATAAAATCTCACACCACCAAATAATTTATTGTAAATATTTCCAAAAAAAATCGATATTATAAGCAAAAATTCCCATGAAAATATGTTATTCTAGAATTTTGACGAATACCAATTTAAAAAAAAACAAACTTCACAGTGCATATGAAGTCATTAAAGCATTTTTTTAAATTACAAACAAGCGAATGAACCTCTAAATAATGAATATTGTGCTAAGAAACGTTTACAAAGAGCAACATTAAATGGAATTAATATGTGGGTCCCATCCGTTCATATTGGATGGTGGACGTTATAAAAGCCTGTTCGTTTCTTTCAGCTTGAGTATGCGTGTGCGTGCCTACGTGTGCGCGTTTGTGTATGCATGTGGGCATAAGCGTCTTTTGGCGCACGTGTGTGCGCGTCCACTGTTAATGCGGGGAGTCTCGTGCGTGCCTAAATTTACAGTATGATCCCTAGTGGGTCTTTAAATATGGCGCACCAGCTACAACTTCGGTGATATGCGCACGTCCATAACGTAAACGCGCGCGCAGGCACACCCGCACGCACGCGTGCGCCGACACACACACACACACACACACACACACACACACACACACACACACACACACACACACACACAGAGGAAAGCATAGCGATACAAATGCATTTACATGTTTTCTATTCCCAAGAGTCACATTCATTTGGAGTCATGTGGTTTAAGTGGTAAATGTGTTCATACTTCCAATATCTAGCTAAATGGGTAAAGCCATCAATGTTTTGCCTGTGTGGTTCAATTGGTAAAAGCGTAAATGCTTTGCCTGTTTGTCTCCATTCTTAAAGGCATCGATGCTTTGTCCCTGTGTTTCCATTGATAAATGTATCGATGTTTTGCCCGTGTGGCTTCATTGGTAAAGGCATCGCTGATTTGATTGTGTGGCTCCATTTGTCCGTTGGTTGATTTTACGTCATATCAACCCGTGTTTAATGTCGAATTTTACATTGGATACTCGGTGTGGATCAAATTCATTACTCAGTAATAATTATTCTTTGTCTAATCGACTGTATTAATAAAGATATTTGTATTTTGTCTAAATGGTTCAATTTGTAAAGCAACTGATACTTTACATGTGTGAAATTAGTTACAAACTTTAAAACAACGTTTTTTTCATTCGCTTGTTCATGGTATTTCCTTTTAATTATTTATCAAATTTTGCATTATCCATTAAGCGACTTGATTCGAAAAATGTGATTAAATTGCACTTGTGTGTGCGATTGTATGTGTGTTTACTTCTTTATATACTTGCACATGTTTATGTGTATGCATGAAGATGTGTGTCCGCAATTTGCCTGATTAAATCTATTTGTGTAAGCGCGCGTTTGTGAATGCGTATGGATTTCTGTGTTTGTATATTTGCCTGTGTGTGACCTTGCAACTCTCTACTTCTCTGTCACAGAGCAACGATAGTGTCACACCCGGTGAGGATCGAATTCACGACACAACATTCGAACATTCTTGTATATTCAGATGCCTGAGTTTCTTGGGTAACGAATCGACAGTTTTACAGTTTTTTTAATCGCTTCACCCTAGGCAAGGCAATAAAGCCACTAAGAAGCATGGTGTTACTGAGTTTAATATGAAAAAAGACACTATTAATGAGAGTGAACAATAAAAGAACGAGAATTAAGAAAACAGAAGATAACGATTGTCATTGCATTTAAATTTATATAAATGTTGACAAGAAAGCAAGAGGCTGGATGTGAGTTTTACGTCCAGAAAAGATGTTAATGTTGACTCGATTGAAAATAGACGCAGATATTTAATTGAGATAAAAAAAATTACTCGGCTTGTAGACATCAACAATTTAAATAATGTAAAACATTTTAATTATCGTTACATAAGTGTTATGGTGTAGAACCATAGAAAGATAACACGGACTCGGATATAAGGTTAAATAGTATATTCTCGGAAACGTAGTACAAAGGTAAATGTGGACTGGAGAGTACTTTCTCTAACTGGTGTCATGACTCACTCACTCACTCACTCACTCACTCACTCACTCACTCACTCACTCACTCTATGGCTACTACTCGGTGACCCTCCCTTGGTAACTCCCTTTACTTGGTAGAGTTGGTAGCCATATTATATAGGTGTGGAAGAGTCCATTTGTAGGTAGGTCACCACAACAATAAGTAAACTATACTCTACATGTTTTTTTTTATATCAATACAGAAAACGAAATCGATATTTTACATGTTTGTTTGATAAATTAAATTTAAAAAGTTAACTAAACTGAATAAAAATCATCCTCAAGCATAAAGCTAAAAAACAAAGTTCAAAAAGTAGGAAGATTGTGATTCAGATTTCTAAGAGAATAAAATATTTCTATTGTACTGAAGTAGCAAAATCTTTTTTTTGCTGAGCTACAGTATCAACCATATATACTGGCGTCAAACATGCATCAACCATCAAACAAGTCCTAATTATATATATGTAACGGGTTTCGTCCCTGAAAAAGACTTCATCAGATATATGTGCATATGTGTTGGGGGAGGTTTTGTAGCCTAGAGAGAGAGAGAGAGAGAGAGAGAGAGAGACACTTATTTGTTTATGTTTCCACCTGGAAGAATAGTTATTTTCGAATGTGAATTTACAAAGTAGACAGAATATCTGTTTATTTCAGCTATTAATACTGCATATCACCCCCCACTCTATTTAATGGCATACCAAATGAAGTTCAGTGTATAGAAAGGGGAACTGAAATATTATGACCCACCCGCCGAATTAGACCCCCACGTGATCTAGTATAGACTCTGCAAAACCTTCCTCTGACATCGAGTGCCAGAATGTTAAAAGCAGGTCTTTGAGGTGCCACGATTCACAAGGCGAAACTTTGGTAGAGGAAACCTGTTGATCCAGCACGTCCTATAAGTGCTCAATAAGATTAATTTCTGAGGAGTTTGATAATCACGGAAACATGGTAAATTCTTCCTGTTCCTGAAACCATTGTCAGTGGAGCAAGTCGCATGTTCCACTGAAAGATGCCATTTTAGAAAACTGGTTCCATGCACGTGAGTACTTGGTCATCAATGATGCCAGGGAAGAAGATAAAAATGTCTTCAGGATGTCAATTTTCAAGAGAAATCGCGACTAGTTACTTTTAAAGTTTTCTTTGAACAATCAGTTTGCTCAGAAAGAAAAAATGCAGTTATAAATAAGAAGAGTTTAAATAAATGCATGCAAAAGTTCACAGCTCTAGCGTCATTCCTTCATAGTCAGCCAATGAACTTTTCAGCCCACCTTCGTAAATGGAAAGAAACTATGCAGTTATTAATAAGAGTTGCTCTATCAATATTTCATAGTCAGCCTATGAACTTTTCAGCCCACCCTCGTAAATAAGAGGATCTTGTATTTCCTTTTTTTTTTCTTTTTTTCTACGTTATTTCCTTTCATTTTGTTATTCTTTTCTTTCCTTTTTAATGTTATCCTTTCTTTCATTTTTAATTTATACGAAATGTTTCCTTCTTTCCTTTAGGCAATAAAATGCCTTCCATATAAATAAAATGGTTCTGTGTTTCCCAGCAGGACGTTACTCAAACTATCACACAACCTCTCACTAGCTTGTTGTTTTCCGACAATGCATTATGTTGCCATATCTTCCTCAGGATAAAGGCGACGACGTATTCTGTTGTCTACCTTATTCACAAGAAAGTAAGACTCATCCGACCATTCGACCTGTTCTCATTGATACAAGTCCAGTCCCGTCGTTTTCCTGTGTATTGAAGACATTTCACCATAGCTACTATGACTAGCCTGCGATTACAGTGACCCATAAGTAAAAAACATCGATATGTCATGATGTATTTATTTCTTCTTGATTAAAATTGTTTGCAATTTTTCTCTAAAGTAGGTTCCTGGTGAATCGTACTTGACAGTGAAGTCAATGTTCACTTATTGTATTAATAAGTATTGCTTGGCTAAACCTTTCGGTGTTTGGCGATATTTCCGATCCTGCCGTTTGTGAAATACTTGAATATAATATACTTGTTGCATTTAGTCTTTATCAAAGTTACTCAGATTTTTATTCTTGGCCATAACAGCAAAGTAAGTTGTTAAAAGACATCAATCATGGTCGATTTAGCTGCTCCCATATCCCTTTACATTTAGGTTGTTAGAATATCGGATACCTATCATTCTTACTAGATATGTCGGATCATAATCTTAGGATCCTCGGTATATATATATATATATATATATATATATATATATATATATATATATATATATATATATATATATCGAGGAGATTAAGATTATATATGCCCCGGAAATCCGGTTGAGCTCTCTAGGAAAAAAAGGGTGTTTTTAAAAAACAGCGGCTCCTACTGCTATTAAACATTACTCTTCAAGTAAAATACAATTGAGTTCTATGAACTACTGGCGTGTTTCGTTTAGAGAAAAAAACGTTAAAATTCCGTTCCTTCCCTGCAGTGCAACGATGGTCTAGCGTAAGAGATCTGACTGATGTTAAATCAGTCGGGTTTCATATATATATATATATATATATATATATATATATATATATATATATATATATATATATATATATGTGTGTGTGTGTGTGTGTGTGTGTGTGTGTGTGTGTGTGAGGTTGATCAAAAAGTTTCGGGGAACTGTTGTTATGAAAACGGATCTAAAATACGCAGCGTGAAACTGCTTGGAACAGATTGACCTGAACCGCACTTGTGCATACACATTAAGTTATAATATTCCCTCCCATTTTCTATTTCTATAGCATTGCTTTGAAGGAAGGTGTGTAGAGTGTGGCCGTCTCATTACACCACAGAAGTTTCATCAGCTACCATTGTTTGTACAATAGTTTTTGGCCAAAACATTCCCCAGGTACGACAAACACCAGATTTCGCATCTTGGGACTTTTATTCTCATGAAAAATCAACTCGCACTTGAAAGGAACGAGATTTCAAGGCGTCGAAGAAATCCAAGAGAATGTGATGAGGCAGCTGCTCACCCTCCTAAAAAATGGAATTCCTGGAATGATTTTATCAATGGAAACAACGCTGAGTAAATTGTGTGTCTTCGGAAGGGGACTACTTCGAAGGAAATTAAGTGCCGTATTGATATGTATTGTAGTTTTTTATAGCACCAGCCCAGATACTTATTGTTCAGACCTCGTATATATATTTATATAGGTCCGTGTATATGCGTGTGTGTGTATGCGTTGGAATATGTGTCTCTGTATTCAGGACTCCTAGACATGTATGTATGATTTATGTAGTTTTATGTTGGAGCATGTAGAAAAACAAACAGAGAAAATAGACATACAAATTAAGAAATATTAAAAGAAAATAAATGAAAGTTTGCAAAGATCCAGGAAGGAGAAAAAAAAATTCAGAAGAAAGAAAAGTAGGAAAAAAGAGAGAAGGAAAAAGAAAGAGTAAAAAGTGGTAAGATAAAAAAAAGGACGAAGAAAAGTAAAAAAAAAGAAAAAGAAATAATAAACCAAAAGGTAATATAGAATTGAAAAAGAGGTTAAAGAAAAAAGGAAATGAAAAGAAAGTGTAAGATAGAGAAGGAGCGTTTTTATAACATGAAAAGAAATCAAAACGAAAAACCCAAAAAAGAAAATACAGGAACAGCGATGTGAAAAGAATGAAATGAAGGAAAAAAAATATAAAAAAGAAGGAAAAAAAATTGAAAAAACAAAAGAAAAATAAATTGACAATGAAGAATTGGTAGAAGTATGAAAAAGAAAAAAATTAAAAAAGAGGAACAAAAAGAAAAAAATAATGAAAAAAGGAAGAAAAAAGAGAAAAAGAAAAATTATAAAAGAAAAATCAGAATAAAATCAAACGGCAAAGTAAGAGAAAGAAGAAAAAGAAAAGAAAAGAAAGAAACAATTAATATGAATTAAAAATGAAAGAAAGAAGACCAATGAAAAATAACGAAGAAAGTTTCAGAAAACATAATTATAAAAGATGAAAAAAAGAAAGAATAAAAAAAAATTGTAATAAAACATAAAGAAAATATGACTGAAAAGTTTTGGAATGATGCGAACAGGAATAGAAGACTTAATGACGATGAGGGTCGGCGGGGGATTAAAGAGAGAATGACTGTGAAAATGGCGGCGGATGTTGGTGTGGACGTGCCGAGCGATCGGTCATGTGAAACTGAAAGTGAAAGTAGGTATTTGTGTCGTGGCTGCCCAAGTCGGATAATAAAGATGATCATAAAATCCTATTTTCCGAAAAAGCAGCCTGAACCTAGCCATTGGAGCGCCGCGACTGGGAAGATGGGACCGCTGTCGTTTGTGGGAGGACAGAGAAGTGATCGCTCTACGACATAGGAAGAAGGAAAGAGCGAATGAAGGAAGAAAGAGAGAGAAATAAAGAAGCATGGGAGAAAGTGGCTGGAGTTTCTAAGAAGAAATTTTGGGTAATGAAGATATAGGAAAAGAGAATTCAAGAAAGAAAATGAAAGTATTAAAATGCATTAAGAAGTGTGAAGAAAAACGAATTATATCATTAATGCTAGGGAAAAAAAGCGAAAAAAGAAAAATGAAAGAAAATTATAAAACCAATATAAAGAAAAAGAAACCAGGAATGAGAAAAAGAAATGAGGTGAGAAAATAACAGAATGAAAGAAATAAGAAAGAAAGAAAGAATAAATCTGAATGAAATTAGAAGAACGAAAAAAAAAAGAAAAGAAGGCTGAAGTATTAAAATGAAGTCTTTGTGTTTAAGAAGAGTGATAAGAAAAATAACAGGAAGGGATGGCGGAAAAAAAAGTAAGGAAGAAAAAAAAAGCATAGGAAGGAAAGAAAGAAGGAAATGCAAGGCTAAGGAAGAGGAAATTGCTGAAATAACGAATTAAAGACACGAAAAACTTAGAAGAAGCGGAAAGAGAAAATAGCGCGTACACACAGACACAAAAACACACAGACGCACATAGACGCACGTGCGTGCTCGCGGGTAACACACACACGCATACATACATACATACACATAGACACAAACATACACACTCATGCATATATTAAAAAGAAATTGAATTTATCTCCCAAAATCTTGCGAAATCAGAAAAATCTAAATAGTTAACTTTTTGTTTTGAGATATTTTGAAGAGGAATTGTATATTTTCTTTGGGTCCAATCTATGGATCTGTGACGAGGGAGTGTTTGATATAACACGCCTTTTCGAAATGTAGTTAGAGGCCCATACTCACATATGTCGGAAGAATTATATGTACTATAAAGGAATGTCACAATATCTATGAATACGTGAAACTATGTGAGTGTTTGGACATCAATGATTGTCTATATATTTTGGATTTTTAAATTTTTTGAACATAAATGAGTTTGTTCGATGTATTTTCATGTTGTATAGATTTGTACACAAACAAACATAGACACACATACACACACACACACATATATATATATATATATATAGACGCACACACATATATATGTATGCATATATATATATATATATATATATATGTGTGTGTGTGTGTGTGTGTGTGTGTGTGTGTGTGTGTGTGTGTGTGTGTGTGTGTGTGTGCGTGCATACGTATGTATGGATATATGTACACGAAGTGGAGCTGAAAATTCTCGACTCAGCTTAGGTCCCAAATTCAGCCTAAATGACCAAATATCATAAACTTGGCGGGTACACGCCTTCTTGGACAGGCTTAGAACTTTTGGTCACCGCATCAGGTATGCAGATATTTTCATGTCTGAATTAATTATATCTATCGATTGATATATATATATATATATATATATATATATATATATACTAATTTTAAATATTTACGTCTTTGTGAACAAACACACACACACACGCGCACACACATATATATATATATATATTATATATATATATATGTATATATATCGCAAACGAACATTTTAGGGAAGACTCTCTAAAAGGTTCCTGTCCAGGATTTTTTAGTTGTTGTGTAGATAGA